AATACTAGCTGGCCATATATTTCTAAACATTTTTCAAAAATTACGTTTTTTATTGCAATTTCCACCCCCCCCCGACTTAATTAAACGTATATATAATAAAATCTATTAATTAAAAAAATTAAAAAACTATTGGAGGTTGTTTTTGACATCAGAAAGTAGCTTTAAATAGCTTTACCAAAGTCAAATCCGTGCACTACAACTTTAGAATGATTAATTAATTTTGATAAAAAAATTCCATTAAAAAACAATTAAGCCTTAATCTAGCCTTATCAAAGGCTAATTAAAATCGTGATAAAAATTTTTTTGCGCAGGTAAAAATTTTTGAAAAAATTTGGAGACAAAAAAATTCCAAAAATTCAAAAAAAAAAAAAAAACAAATTTTTGGGGGGCCGAAAGGACCGAGTTTTATGTAACGCTATGTAACCTGCCCGAGTTAACTCGGGGTATCGGTTTAAAAGGGTTAAAAAGATGCACAAATGGTTTGAAATCATAAATAATTGTGTATAAATTAATGTAAGATGATCTATAACTGGTGAATACATTCAGTTCTTAACTTCCTATAGCCAAAACTAGTGCAATTAAAAAATTATTTCTGGATCCAAACAATTGCATTCACTGATGGCATGTACAATACAATTATTAAATGTAAAATGTAATAGTGTAATAATGAGTACACTGTTTATAACAATGACTGGTATATGTGGTGTGGCTAGAAAATAATGAGACTGTGATCGCCTGCACACAATGATCACACATGGGTCAAAGTGAGTGAGTGGATGGGTAAATAACCTTAAACAAGTTAGAACAAGCACAGTAAGTCTCAATTTGCTACTGCTATTAGATTGCTGTGAGTGGATGTGTTGTTAGCATGCATTGGAAAAATGGAGAGTTTGAAAAAGGAGCAGAGTATCAACCTGAAATTTTTGGTGAAATTGAAAAAACTGCCACTGAATCTTTGTACCTGCTATATGAAGCATACAGAGACACATGTTTTTGTCATATATGTGATTTTGAATGGCACATAATAATTTCTGAGGGCTGAGAGAATGTGAAAGATGAACGTTCTGGACAGCCCAGCATGTCATAAACCAAAGAAAACATACAAAAAGTGGAACAAATTGTGAACCAATACTACTACAAAGAAGTTCTGGAATCTTTGTGGGAAAGGGTCAGAAGAAAGTGCCAACACTTGTGGCAAAATGGTTTCATCCTTCATCAGAACAATGCACCAGCCCATTCTGCTCTGTCAGTGAAGCAGTTTTTGGCCAAGAAAGGATTCACACTACTTGAACACCCACCGTACTTGCCTGACCTCGCTCCATGTGACTTTATGTTTTCCCTAAAGTCAATTCTGTTCTGAAGGGACACTGTTTAGATTCAATTTCTGCTGTCAAGAAAAACAGATGAAGCTTCTGCATTGCCTTACAGGTGGTGATCTGCAGCACTGTTATGATCAGTGGAAGTTGCAAATGCAGTGCTGTGTGGAAGCAGAAGGATTGTACAGTACATTGAAGGGAAACACAACGTAAAGTGAGTATATGAGTATACTACTCAAAATTTAAAGTTCCAGCATCAGGCTCATTATTTTCTAGCCACACCTTGTATTCGCATTTTACCATTACTTGGATTTGCATCACTTGAAAAAAACTAAAAATGAAACTTACTATCTTTAAAGTTGCTCAGTCTGGACAATCATTCTAACCTTAATTTTCTAATATGGTTAAAGAGAATTAATAATAAATAAAATAAATAGAAATCAAGAATAAAACAATTTCATTGAAGATTATAATAGTCGTGCAGTATAATTTTGGTTTCTTTGGAATTGGTTGGATACTTGCATTTTTGTGAATCTTTGTTAATAAAAACACTAATCAACTAATTACAATATTAAATGTTGGTTTGAAGGATTCGTTATACATAGAAGCCATTGCTGCATGTATTATGGTATGTATGCACATTAACTGATTACAATATGTAAGTTCATTTATGTTGTTTAGCACTGTACTCAATTATTACCATTACTCTTAAGCCATGGTCAAACCATGCAATTTCCAGCCGCACAGGCGACTGCAACTGTAACAAGCGTGAGTCTTCTCATGGTCACACATTATTTGCTGAGGTAGCAACTCAGAAACACTATAATAAACCAATAAAATTACAGTAGTTTGTTTTTGACTACTTTCGTGAGTTTCCCAACATTTTATGTTCTACTTCAGAGTATTTACGGAATTTTGGCCACTTTTCTTATTAAAATAGCAAGCAGTTCCTTTTCTGGAATGAATAAAAAAAAAAAAAAAAAGGTGATTATTATTATTTTGATAGAGCCGGCGAGAATACACGAAAAGATAAAATCTTCGATAAAACGAAAAATTAAAATCCTACAGGTATTCGTGAGCCTGAATAAGCTTGATCAATCTTGATTCTGTAAAAGTATTAATCCTCTAACTATCCACCATGACGATGAACTATTTTCAATGTTGTTACCGTATGACGTGGTACAAAGGCGTTTGCTGATTGGATACACGTTTGCAATCGTCGTGAGTAGAACAAACTTTTTGTTTCTAGTTGTGATTGCAGTCGCACTGGTTTTCGAACGGGGTTTACTAGTTAGCAGGAATAGCCATTGCGGTTGCTTGCATGGCTGGAAATCACATGGTGTGACCACGGCTTTAGGCTACGTCCTACGTGGCAGCATCCAGCAACCACAAATGGAAAAAATCTTAGTAAGCGCGTCCAACTCGCAAGTGCCTTCTGTCCAGAGTCGATGCATGTTGTTTACAAAATGGCAGTGAGACGACTTTGTTGAATGCTTGCTGCGGAAAATATAACAAGCATTAAAATGGTAAATTTGACAGGTAATTGTTATCACTAACTAGATACACAATAAATATAAAGAATCTTCATAGAATAATAAGTTAAAAGAAGTTTTTTTAAAACGTTACATTTACAAAATCATAAATTATTAAATTACATAAAAGATTATTAATTAAAGTACATACAACATATATACACAATTTATTTGTCATTCCATTTTCATTCATCTACAAAATCAGCCATTTTCTTTGTTGGAAGAGTGAGCAGTGGAAATGACTATCAAACTGGCGTGGTAGCTGCTTCCTGCACGAGCATGTAGAAGTGTCATCTGGTGGTCACTACACACTAAACACAGTTATTCTGGACGTGCACATTTGCTTGAACCAGTTTGTCCACTCCTCTTGGAAGCATGTTCACACTTGCAATCGCTGGATGCTGCCACGTAGTACATAGCCTTATGTTTAACTTACAATGAATTTCTGTTGTAAGTTGGGAACTACTTGCACTTTGCATCCATCTTGTAATTCTAATATTATATCAATGGCATCAATAGTGCATAGTATTCTGGACATTCTGCATTTTCTGAAAGTAGAATCAACATATAAATAAAATTTTTCCTATTTATTAAATTATGCTTTAAAGTTAAGCCAAAAAAATTTCAACTTTTAGTTATTTTAACACATTTACTGCCAACTATGAGTTAACTCATAGGTGACTGCTTATTTAAAGACACCACCTATGAAACAAAGGAAACAGAATATACGTAAACTATAATAATAAGTATATTATGTATTATATGAAGCAAAATATAGGAAATATCAAAAACAGGTAAAAAGAGAATTGACTAATTATAGTTGAAATGGATTTATTGACAAGATTATGCAAATTATTTGTGCACAAATTTAAAAAAAAACTGAAAAAAATTAAAATAAGTATTGAACAAAAAATAATCAATTTATTAATGAAAAAAAGAAAGCAGTTAATATGGTATAGTTATGTGAGAATACAAATTGCCAAGGATAACCATGGAATAAAACCACAAAAAAAATGAGGGAAAGACCTAATAAGAAGGTATAAATTTGTGAAAAATAGAGTAGGAAGAGAGAGAAACATTAAGGAAGAAATATATGTCAATATATAACAAGTAGAAAAATTATCTGAAAATCAGAAGTCATCAAATTTTCTGAACTGATTATGTATGTCTGTGAAGAAAGAGGTTGAATTTACAAATAACAGAACAGAATTTTTTTAACAATATATATATTTCTTTATTCATCCAGCTAATAAAAATTTTCATGGAGAACACTGAAGATGAATTATAAATCTATTTACTGAAACTAGAATTATATATAAATATGAAGAGAATAGAATAATTACAATATGCTACTACTAGATAAGTTTAAAGATTTTAAGTTTTCTATTTTTATAATTATAGGGAAGACTGGAAACCAGTTCTGACAATTAATTCAATAGTGTATGGATTGCAATACTTATTTTTGGTAAGTGTCATGATTTTTAGTGATATTTCAGTTTTAAAACTTTCATATTTTATTCATTCAACTTTTTTAAAATCAATTATAAAAAAATGACTTACTAAAATATATATATAATAGGAACCCAATCCAGAAGACCCACTGAACAAAGAGGCAGCTGAAGTGCTCCAAAATAACAGACGCTTGTTTGAACAAAATGTGAAAAAAGCCATGATGGGAGGTTATGTTGGTCTTACATATTTTGATCGATGTCTAAAGTAATGGAATTAGATATTATATTTTCTTTGGAAATGGACATTCTTGTGTCAAAAATTGTACAATGACTGTTCAAATTTTCATGAAAGTTTGACATCGGGATATGCTCTTCCATATAATTTGAATTGCCTACCATTAGATGCAAGCTGAGGAAAACACTGCTTGTATTTATAGGCCTTTATGTCAACATGGAGTTCTTTCATCTTATCAGTATGAGATTGCATGGTATCACAGCTGCTACTGACAAATATACAGTACTGACTTATAACCTATTTCCTTGCTCACATTTAAAAATACCCATTTGTGTACTGTCCACCATTTCTGACAGAATTTTCACTTTGCACCATTGTGGCCATCCAAATAAGCATTATGTTGATTAATTTGATTTATTTAAAGAAAAAAGAATCAGAAATTTAAAAAAAAAATAGTTTTTATAATTATCATACTGAAATTTTGTCAAAATTCAAACAAAATATCAACAAAGAAAAGAACTAATGTTGAGTAGAATTCAATTTCATTGCTTTGCCAGTTTATTACAATTTATTCATCAAATCTTGTATATGATCTATATTTGAATTCTTATTGTGGACTGTAAATGAAAATGTAAAACATAATAAAAGTATAATAACTTAAAAATATAATAATTGGTATTAAAATATCCAAAATGGTTTCATGATAAATTTCATTTTTGGTTATTTATTTTATTATTTATTGCTTATAATAAATATTTTGAAATTTTAATTTATAAAATGAATAGAAATAGTCATTGTTTAAACTGCATAATGTTTTGACTGTGGTTTATATCTTAATTTTGATGGCATTTGCAAAATATTGAATGTTAATTATTTCACAAATAAATTCAATAATCTTTTTTTCTTTTGTTTTTTAGAAATAGTGAATTTTGGTTAAAATTTTTCCTTTAAAAAATTACAAATTATTATTGTTTTTACAGTGATTCAAAAATATGATGTGATTTAAAAAATATGATTCAATTTTAATATTTTTTCAAAGTTAGAAATCAATAAGTGAAATATATCTATATTAACTCATAAATAGTTTTTCATAATTTTAAAAGCAATTTTATGAAAAGATAAAAACTAGACAAAAAAAAAATTTTTTTTTTGTATATATTCAATTTAAATTTACTATGGTTAGTTATAATGTCAATGCTTAACAATTATATATATTATTGTTTTGTGTTGATATTTTTGTACAAGCCAATTGCCAAATATTTTAGTAGTGAATCATATTAATATGTATATACTTAATTATATATATATAACTTAGAATAAATGAGAAGATATTTGTTAAAAATAATAATGTGATTTTATTGAAGGACTAAAATGGAATTGCAGTTTTCAACATTATGTAAATTGAACAAAGAATTTGATCTGTCAACTTATCCTAAAATAATGCTAATCTTATAAATAAAAGGGAAATTTTATTTGTGACATTGTTGTATCCTTATATTTATAAAACAAATACATCTACAAATGACTCAAGACATTGTGAGGCATTCGTAGGTATATTTGTTTTTGAATTTGTGGTGTTGAATTTATTCTTCTTTTCTATCAACTTTTCTTACTAAATTCATCTTTCTTTTTATTTATATACTTTTGTATGAACCTGTTATGTTATATTCTATAGCATCGTTTCTCAAACTGGGCGATAACCCTTGTTGGCGCTGGAGGCTTTCAGGGGGGCAGTAGAAGTCTCAGTGATTAAATATGAGTTTTATTTCTTCTCATTGAAACATTCTTTGATCTCAGAAATAGGACATGAGTCGCACCCTATCTATCCTATCCATATAATAATGCATGTTTAAACGTTATATTTGCAATAACTGTTTTTAAGATATACAATAGATGGTAATGTAAAAAGGTAAGTTAAAAATATGGGGCATTAGATTTTTTTTTAATGTCAAAGTGGACGGTGGTCGAAATAAGTTTGAGAACTTGTGTTCTATAGAAAAATTTACAACAAATTTCTTCCAAATAACCATAAAAGTTTATTTTATCAAAGATGTTTGTGACATTAGTCTACACATGAGTCCACCATTAAAATAACAATATGTTTAACATCACGTTCAGTTATGTCTGTTTTGGAAATAATAATTGTTCTATTTATTAATTCATATAAATTTAAGAATGTGATCTTAATAATAATAATAATAGTAATAATAATAATGTGCAACTGGCTAAGAGGTAGTGGTATCATTTAATCAGTTGCTATCCCTTCATCTGAATACCAGTAATGATTAGTTTATCACTTTTGGTGTAAAATCTAATAATACATGAATATTTTGAAAGTATTTTAAAAGTCTGTTTATTTCTCATTTACTTCCAATGTTTCTTTATAGTATAATTATTGTTTTATGAAATGTTTTGTTGGAGATTACTAAGAATTACATTTTTTATTATTTGAAAGATGGAATTTTTTAACTTTTGCAAATATTTCTGTAAAATTTAAAAAAAAAAATCTCATTACAATAGGATCAAAAGAAAATGTTAGCATGGCCTTTTGCCCAATTTTCCAGGCTATAAAACAGGAGGTTAAGAGGACCAGGAAATCCAGTAATTTTCATTTATATGATAACATTTAAACAATAATAAAAGCTTAAAAGGAGTAATTTTGTTGAATTATGATAATTTCTCTATTTAAAAATTATTAAAATGCCAGCTAAAAGTTAAAATTGTGTGTAATGCCTTCTGTTTTGAGATTTTATTAAAAAATAATTTTTATATTATCATAAAAAGGCTTATTTTTGAGGGTAGGAGTGAATTTTTCAAAATATAAATGCTAGTAACCAGTAAAATGTTGGACAAAACTAAATTCCAATAATTCTCAAGAATAATTTTATATACTCAACAACTATCAAAGTTTAAGTTTATTATTATGTTAACTATTTATAAACCAGGGGCATAGCTACATGTATCAGCTGTACCAATTTTACAGAGCCTACTAGTTAGGAAAGTTCAACAGCCAACTTTTGTATCACATTGTATGGTTAACCTCCAACCATAATAATTGATGAAATTCATGGCTTCACAGCTTTGTAAAGAAAGTTAATACTAAAATGAAAGTTACTTCTACTACTGCCTTCTGCCTTTTTTTTACACTCAAAATGTAAAGCTAAACAACTTGGGTACATTTAACAGCAGTCCAAGATAGAAATAACTTGATTTGAACACTCAGGTCAAGGAACTATTTTGTCCCTTGCATCGCAGACCTTCCAACTATAGACTGCTGTAATGCAATATTTAATTGCTGGGAAGTACCAGGTATATCTCGAATTCTGCTAACTTGACAGAAGAAAGATGATCAGATTCATTCATACTATCTACTGGAAAAAAAATGGCTTGAATATTGAAATTGTTGCCAAATATGGAGAAATTGATGTTTGCTGGAGCAAAAAGAATAACAACCTGAAAATGATCATATACTTATAAACAATGTCAGAGCCTGTCATTGTTCCTTTCTATTCTAGCTTGTTAACAATTCATTCATACTTGAATTAAAAGTTATAGGTTTATTTTCTTGTGTTTAACATACATATAAATTATATAAAGACTTAGTTTGATTACAAATTTTAAGATAATACACCTCTGGTGTGTCATCCTTCTGCCATGGTCAGTTTTTATTGCAAGGCCCCATTTGCAGTATTTGATGCAGGCCCTACTCAATGTCAGCTGCTATGCCACTGTTACGAATTTATAAAATTATGCCCTTAGTATTTGAAAATAAATATAATAAATGTACATAGTAGAAAATATTTATTTTTAACGAGCAATTATTTTATTGACATCATCACAATTCCCGGCTGCAATTTTTAATCATATTTTAATTTGGGATGAAATTTTTTAAAAATTTGCATCCCAAAATAAATTAAAAAACACTAAAAGTTATATTTTATGGTTTATTGTGAACCAATCATGGTAATAAATATTTAAGGATTTTATTATTGACTATCTATGACAGTATATTCAGATTCATCACTAAGAATGTTATTTATTCCAGTTTGATGATAAATTTTCTTAAATTATTAATAATTTATAAGCAAAAGGTATAATTATCCAATTTAAATTGGACAAATGGACAATTCTCTAATGAGTATTCATATATAACACACGAAAAAGATTAGTAAATAAATATTTATGTAAATTCATTCTGCATCATTTTTAAAAAGTGAGTATTGTTTTCCTGTCCTTTCTATGTTAAACATATGTATTTTGGATGATCTTTAATACTAGAACACCCAGACTAAGCCTACCCCAACAACACCTGCTAACTGTCAATTGATTTTTCTCATTTCTTTTACATTTTTGGCTATTTTTTTTATCATAAAATGTTGGCATTTGTTCAACTCATTTTGATGCATCATAATCATTTGTAAGTTTTACCTTCCCAGCTGTTATGTATGTATAACAAGGGAAAGTATTGGAATCATGTCAAATTTGACCGTCTGAGATTTTTGGAAATCTCCATGTTGAGACCACTGAACCCAAAACACACATATTCACAGAATTTTTTTGTGTTTGTGTTGGTATCTATTTCATTTAATATATTAGAATAGGGTTAAGAGTAAGAAATGAAATTTGGCACAGTAGCTTGTGAGACATTGACACTATTAAATTTTGTTGATGAAAGATCAAGGGTGAGATAAAGGGTAGTCATGTGACATCTCACATGGGATTGGGCTTAATGAAGATTTAACCTGTTAGCATTTACAGATCTTTAACTCATCTCTACCCTCAAAATTAACTTATTTGCTATTTTATAACAAAATCTCATAGTAGATGGTGCCACATATAATTATATTAATTATGATTATAATTAAAAATTGATTTTTAAAATAAAATCTCATAATAGCTAGAAAAGTTACACAATTTACTAGATTTTTTTAAATATGAATAAGAGTATACATTAAAAAAATTTTTTTTTAAGATATAGTAGAGCATTGATTATCCAAAACAATTTGGGTCAGGTTGTTGGGATAACTGATCATTTGTGAAAAAATATATTAAACACAAAACTGTACTGTATATATTTTGTGTCACATGTCTTACAAATACATACCTTACATCATCATCATCAACTGTTATCAATCCACTGCAGGATGAAGATCCCCCAAGCCTCTTCCACAAGCTTTTGTTTTGAGCACTTCGCTTCCATGTTGTGCCAAGATGCCTCTTGATCTCATCAACCCACCGAGTGTGAGGACATCTTCTTGGTCATTTCCGATCCCTTGGTATCAATCAAGAACTTCAGATGTCCAGCGATGGTCAGTTCTTCTTGCAATATGTCCAGCCCACTACCACTTGAGGGATTTTACTCTAGCAATGATATCGGTAACTCCTGTCATTTTCCTGATCCATGTTATATGTTTCTGATCTCTCCTTGTT